ATTCGTGTATGTTCTCTCTCTCTCTCTCTCTCTCTTCTTGATTCTCGAAAAGAAAACTCGAAAAGAAAAAATTGACATTCATAACTAACATGACGCCTCTAGTTTATTCGCCGAGCGCGATTTTCTCCTGCAATGCTACCAAGCGGCCAGGAAAAGGAAGACAGAATAGACGAAGGACGTGTCCGCTGCCATTTTCGCTCCATCGTTCTGAAAAGAGACGTGACTGGTCTGCCTTGACACACGGAATTTTCCCTAGCATGTTCCTCTCGCCCGGTTAAGATACCCCATTCAGTACCCCATCCAGTTTAGCTTAATCAAATACAATCTTGGTCGCCTTCTTCGACATGTCGACGTCCTTGAAGAAGGCGCCGTAGGTGTCGTGGGCCTTCTTCTTGACGGTCGTGCCAAACTTGAAGAGCTCGTCGGGGACGGGCTGGTTGGCGCCCTTGAGGATGTTGATCAGCCTGGAGCGGGTTAGCGAGATGTTCACAGGGTACGGTCGAGAGGGAGAGACGTACGATCCAGAGTGGGCCTTGTCCTGGACGGTAAAGAGGGTAATGGCCTCGCCCGTCTTGCCGGCGCGGCCGGTGCGGCCGATGCGGTGGACGTAGTCCTCAATGGTCAGCGGGAAGGTGACGTTGACGACGAGCTTGACCTCGGGAATGTCGAGGCCGCGGGCGGCGACGTCGGTGGCGACCATGACCGAGGTGGCGCCCGACTTGAAGGCCTCGAGGCTGCGGGTGCGCTGGTCCTGGCGCAGGTCGCCGTGGATGCCGCAGACGTGGATGCCGCGCTGCTGCAGGAAGGCCTCGACGCGCGTGGCCTCCTTCTTGTAGAGGCAGAAGACGAGGATGCGGTCGCGGCGGCCCTGGCCGGCCTGGTACTGGCGCAGGATCTGCAGCAGGCGCTGCTCCTTGTCGCGGCCGTCGACGACCTCGACGCGCTGCGTGATGCGCGTGTTGGCCTGCAGCTCGACGGCGCCGCTCGCCGTCTCCTTGCCGCCCGAGCCGATGGTGATCTTGACGGGGTCGACCATGAAGCTCGAGGCGAGCAGGCGCACCGACGCGGGCCACGTCGCCGTGAACATGAGCGTCTGGCGGGCCTCGCGCGCCGGCATGGCGCCGAGGATGGCCTTGATGTCGTCCTCGAAGCCCTTGTCGAGCATGCGGTCGGCCTCGTCGAGCACGGCGAACCGGCTGTGCGACAGGTCGACGGTGCCGTCGGACATGAAGTCCTTGAGGCGGCCCGGCGTCGCGACGATGATGTCGGCGCCGCGCTGCAGCAGCGCGCGCTGCTCGTCCTTGGAGGCGCCGCCGTACACGCACACGCTCTTGAGCCCGAGGTGCGCCGCCAGCTGCGCCGTCTGCTCGTGCGTCTGCATGGCGAGCTCGCGCGTCGGCGACACGACGACGGCCTTGATGCACCGCTTCTTCATCTTGCTGATCGACTCGACGAGCGGCAGCGCGAAGGCCATCGTCTTGCCGGACCCCGTCTCGGCCACGCCAATGGCGTCACGACCCGACAGCGTGAACGGCCACGACGCCGCCTGGATGGGCGTCGGCTTGGTGTAGGCGGCAAACGGCGACTTGGCGAGGAGGTCGGTGACGGGCAGCTGGTCAAAGGCGAGAACGGGGCGCAGGTTGGTCGACTTGTCGTCGCCAATGACAATCGCCTGCTCGGCCAAGTAGGCGTCAATGTCGGCCTGCGGCACCGCCGTCAGGGCCGCCGACTGCGTGTACGAGGCGCTCGCGACAGCGGCGCCGTTCTGTGGCTCGGCCTTCTTCTCTTTCTTTTCTTTCTTCTCCTTCTTCTCTTTCTTTTCTTTCTTCTCCTTCTTCTCCTTCTTGGGCTTCGTCTCAGCGTCGGCGTCGACATCAGCCATCGGGGCATCCTCGCCCGCGCCAGCCGCCTTCTCCGCTTCGTCCCTGAGCCTCTTCCTCTCGCGCTTCTCCTCCTTGCGCTTCTTCTTCTCGTCCTTGTCCTCACCGCCGCCCTCCTTGGCCGCCTTGGCCGCCTTCTTCTCCTTCTTCCTCTGCTTCTTCAACGCCGCCGCCGCCGCCGCCGCCTCGTCGTCGCCCTCGGGCAGGTCCTTGACCTTCTGCTTCTTGCTGGGGGCCGCATCGTCGGCGGCGCTGTGGTCCTCGCTCTCGGCGAGGAGACGCTTCGTCGCAGCCATTCTGCAATGTCTGCTTCTGTTCGAAAAAGGGAAGAAAGGAGAGGGCGTCTTTCTTTTCGTCGAGAAAGGCTACGCAGGAAGCCTTCTTTTTTTACCCGGGGCGGTGGGACTGGCGGGATGGAAAGGCCGAACGGACAATCTGGCTGTGATGGGCGACGGGCGACGGGCGATGGAGAAAAAAATCTTTATCTTATCGTTATCGAGCGCTGTCAATGGCGAAGAGGCGGCGGTGGCGCTGGTGGGGGTCAAGGGGGTTCAGGGTCTGCGAGGGGGGGGGGGTCTGCCTGCGTTGATTGGGCCGTGACTTGTGACTTCAACACCACGACTTGACCTTGCCTAGATATTGGGCTGGGCCTTGGAACTGTACCGAATTCATGCTTGTTTGGGGTAGAGATGTCAATGATGAAGCTGCCCCCCAGACTGAAATGTCTTGACACACTTTATGATACAATGCAAACCAATACGTTACCACACTCCCTTAGCCAACTCGAGACGTAAGAACAAACTTGGACAGTCATCGCCGAGACTTCAACTACGTCAATGGCCTGTTCGTCAGACGCTGACACCCCTCTAACCTTTGACACGTAAGCAGACGCATTCCGAACGTCACACTTGACATGGAAGCCATCTCTTCATCTGGTCATCCAGCTGCCAAGTGTCCCACGGCGTAAACATCTCCGTAGCAGAAAAGGTGACCGGTATTCTGATGAGATCTAAATTCTATCTATGCAGTGCTCAGACTCCACCGCCACGCCGGTCACACAAATCAAGATTGTTCCAGAATCAAACATAAAGAAAAGCTCGCTTGCCAATGATCATTCATGCAGATGCACCCTGTATTCAAGACAGGAAAAAAATAAGCTCGCAATGCACCAGGCCATGCACATCTATGAAATAAGACGCGAGAGAAAAGTGCCACGTCCAACTAAAAAGTCTCGAGTACCACGCGTACGTGGTAGAGCTGCCGTCGCGAAACGACCTCGAAGTCCCCGCCAGCATCCTTCTCCGCATGCTGCCGGTGTTTGTATTGTGATGGTAGTTATCGGCACGGGCGTAGGGACCGCAGCGAAGCCCCAAACCAGTGGCAGGCCGTGTTTGTTGGCACGCCATCTTGGCGGCTTACATGCCCATGCCCGCGTTGGCCCCGCGTCGATCCATGAAGCGAATCGTGCTCCTGCTCCCTGCTGCGGTTGCGCGGCGTGCGCGGTGTGCGCGGCGCGCTGAGCGCCGCTTCCGACTTTGTCGCTTCGAGATCCACGTCGAGGCTGGGCTCGGGGTTCTCGTCGCGCCAGTCGGGAAGCTGATTGTTGTCGAACACGGGACGGGAGAAACGGTTGTAGGCGATAAAGGTCTCCTTGTCGCCCTCAATGGCGTTGGGTGGCGCCGCGACGTGGACCGACTTGCGGCGCATCTCGACAGCGTCATCCTGGATCGGCTGGACGCCAAAGTAGCCGTAAAGCGCGTTCAGGATGGGAATCGACAGGCCGTGAACAACAATGGAGAAGAGTGCGAGCCAGTAGACGACGGGAGACAGGGCACGGAGCAAGTCGTTCACTTCCGTGTCGTTCGTCTCGTCAAGGTGGGCGAACAGGTGCTTGGTGTGCTCGACGTAGAAGGCGGCACCGACGCCGATCGGGCCAAAGTATCCCACAAAGAGAGCCTCCTTCCAGTTTCGGATCGAGTGCGGCATCAGCTTATAGGTGATCATGATGGCGGGAATGCGGCGGAACAGGAGAACGAGGAATCCCAGACCAAATAGGCGGCCGTAGGTGATGCCGGTCTCGGCGTTCTGAAAGCCGGCCCACGGGAAGATGCTGCCGAGGTACATGAAGCCGCCAAAGTTGAGAATGACGTCGATACTCGAGTTGACCTCGTCGTGACGCTTGAGCGTCTCGGCGAGGTACTCGCCATCCCAGTTGAGCGCGCTCCCGGCGGCGAAGCAGGCAATCAGGTCGTTGGTGCCGACGAGGCCAGCGCTGCCGATCATCAGGAATCCGAGGGCGAGGGGGATGAGCAGGTAGCTCTCGCTGTCGATCCACTTCCTGCAGGACAATCTGTCAGTCAAACACTCTGCTGCCACGGGTCACTCGGGCTCACCTCTTGAGGGAGAACTTGACCGCGAAGCGAGTCAGAGTTCCGGCTACAGCACCGTAAACGGCGCCCATGATCACATAGTAGAGCAGAGTCTCGAGGAACCAGTTGCCCATGGCCACACTGACGCCGCCGCCCTGGCGCTCGACATCGCCGGCACGCCTGTGTAGACCGCCGTCACTCTCACCCGTCATCGATTGGACGCTGACGCCCTCGGCATGGCGGATGAGGTAGGTGGCGAGCATCAAGAAGGGGAAGCCGAATCCGTCATTGGCACCGGCCTCGGCGGAGATGACCTCACGAACGGGACGAGCGACAAACTTGTCGGCAAACGGACCCTTTGCGACAGCCTGCGAGAGAACGGGATCGGTCGACGTGACACAGGCTGCGACGACCATGCAGGCGAGCAGGCTCAGCTTGGGAATGGTCGCCAGGACGCAGACGGTGGTGCAGAGCCACATCATTGTCATGACGGGGATTAGTATTAGGGTCATGTCCTTCCAGCGGGCCATGGTGTATTTAGCGGGCAGTTGGTAGCCTGCGATGACCAGCTGAATGCCAATCATCACTCGCATGACGCCCTGTGAGGAAAGCAGTCAGTACTTGATGGCAACGAACGGGGAGACCAAAGAGTACTGACCAGAGTGATTTCGGACGTCTGTCCTGGTTCGGGATTTCCCCATCGTTCTGACACTATGAACTTCGCTGCTATAGGGCCCAGGCAAATGCCAATGATAACGGCCGGCACTGTTTGCGTTAGCACTGAGCGGCGGCCTACTTCGGGGAGAGGCGACGACATACGGGCTTCACCCAGGTACCATTGGTTCTTGAACTTGACGGAAATGACTCCGTAAAGAACAATGAAAAGACCTGTAGTTGACAGCCAGGGTCAGCATTGCCGATGCAATCAGCAGTGCCAAGGGTTGAGATCCTGGAGAATTCCGCCCTGGCAGCTGCTTTGGTTCTTGGCATTAAACGTACCCAAGATGGTCAGAATGCTGTTGAGGTCGCTGAGGCCGAGATCAGGCATGATGGGCAACGTTCAGCAGGACGCTGAGCAAAGAATGCTGGCGGTGAAAGGAGTTGCGAGGAAGCAGGTCGTCGAAGGAGCTCGACCTCACTAACAGCGGCAGCTCGGAAGGACGAGGAGAGGGTCTCGAGAAGACGCGCGGAAAATGCTGGCCACGCAACGCAGGTGGATAGAAAGAGAGGCCGAGGAGAGGCTGCAGGACAGCAACTGGTGCAGGGGGCGGATGAGAGGCAAGAGGCGAGTGACGAGGGTCTGGTGTGGGGAAGACAGTCAGGCAAGCCGCAGGAGAGTGGACTCTCTCAAGTGATGACAAGAAGTCGGAAAGAAATCAAGGCCTGCTGGATTTCTTATTCCGCCGGGGAGTGCCACGCCAGCTAAGTACAGTGGTCGTGGGGTGGGAGGGATGGGGGCCTTGCCTGTCGTGTAGTGTCCTGCGCCAAACCGGGGCGAGCGTTGAAGGAGAGACAGAGGGCAAGTCTTGGTTCAGACTTGTCGAAGAGAGTGAAAGGGAACGGTGATTCTGAGGCAAGGCTGGAATGCGTTGTTCTTGGGTTTCTCTGGGCGTGCAAGGCGGGCTGCTTATAAGAAAATAGCTTATTTCGTGAACGTCGGTTCCTTCGCAGCGATCCACAGGGAACCTGAGACCTCGAAATGCGACAGAATGGCTGTTTGAAATCGACTCGGACACCTTGGCAAGTGCCTCTGTGCAGAGTACCCCCAGTATCTGACTGGGTGGGCGATGGAGGTGACGACAAGAGCGTCTGTGTGGTAGAGGGGTTTGAGGGAGGCTCTAACTGGTACCTCCCTGTTGAGTTTGCTGTCGTATCGTCGTAGTAATCTTTTCTTTCCAGGCTAAGAATATATCGGACTATGCTGATACATGCAGTGCGGGATGATTTGCAACGGCATGGAAGATAAGCCAAGGCCGATCAAGACAGGGCAAGACAAGAACAGTGAAGGATGCTGGCTATCAAAGGACCAGGGAAGGTGACTCGAGACTCTCGGGATGTGAAAGAGTCGGAGAGCAGTCAAAGACGGGAGGCGCTATGGGCGGGCGATCTGTTGTTGTTTGAGGCGGAGGTCTGGTCAGGGACGGGACCCAATGTAGAGGCACGTCGCAGCCCGAGGCACTGATGGATGATGCAAGGCGCCAACCCAAGGCCGATGTCGAAGACAAGCAAGGTCCGGGATGGATGGGTCAGGAGACGGGACGGAAATCAAAAGAGGCGGGCCACGTTAGCCTGTCTGGCGGGCTTGCTCCGCAGCATACCAGGAGCCAGAACCAAGGGCAAATACGTGGAGACTTCGGAAAGATGTGCGTGATCGCCGCAAGTTTCGAGAAATTCTAGGGGGGCGGAGAGGAGGGCAGGGTCGGTCAGACCGGCGACGTTTTGAAGTATCGAAGCAACAGTAACAGCGCCGCGGCAGTGCAGTGTTGCTTGCGTATTGCGTGAACGTTGCGTGATATGTACCGGATGTAGTATGGAGCTGTCTGCCGATGATGCTGCGGGAGGCGATGAGCAGGAGGAGAAAACAGGAATACGTATGTCAAGGCTTCATGTCAGAGCCGCCCCCGCCTTGGTTAGTATTGGTAGTGGTGGTGGTGGTGGTGCGTAACCAGTTGCACATCTTTTGTGGGATGTCTCTGTTGCTGTCACGTCCCTTTTCTGTGCTCTCATGCTGCGTTCCCCGAGGCCACGAGCCAGCACGCGGAAAGGACGGATGGATCATCTCACGAGGTCTTGCCCGGTAGCCCTTACATCATGGGCGTTCCCGAGGACGGGCATCAAGACCAGAGTACATCGCCTCAAAGCCTCAAGCACTCCCGTGCGTGGTAGCGGACTGGCGACGGCGACGACGACGGCAGACACCAGGTACAAGCACAGGCACAGGCACAGGCACAGGCACAGCGAGAGCGGCTGGCTCGCCCTCGGGGCCACCATGGCTTGCGGTGAGACTGGAGCACAAGACCAGGTCAGCAAACTATTCACACAGCCAAGCATTGCGCGTAAGGGGATGCAGACCAGTGTGTAGGAGAAAAGGGCGGAGTGAGAAGGGGCTTTGGGGGC